ACCATTTGCCTCTAACTCAAATACCTTCACATTAGCTATCTATATTTTTATTCAAATGTTCTAATTTGATATACGAACTTATCTAGTTCCTGCAGTTATTTCTGTTTACTATTCATACTCATACCTTTATCATGCAATCCAGCAATACTCGCTTTGTTTAGTATCTGCAACAATAATAAATAACTTATTCTAGATTAATAAAGGAAAGGGGAAAAAGGATGACAAAGAAAATTAAGATTATTAATAAACAATAAGATACCATATTCTTTCAACCCAAAACTTTAAACAAATTTAAACTAAGTCATGTTTCAAGTGCTGCCAAGGGAAGCTCCTCTGCCCTCAACTATGTTTCGTCGTGTCAAGGGACTAGGATTTTTTGAAATAACTAAAGCCAAACATGTAAACATTTAAGTGAAAACATATTAGTTGTGGTATATATACACATATACAAGAATCAAAGTCACTATCCAAAAGTTTGGGCAGGAAAGCTGAGAATATAAGATATGTATAAGCGCAATAAACGTAAAAGATATGAGCTTTGAGGTTTGTAGATAGAATGTTGCTATTATATTGATAGAACATCTATGCAAGAAAAATTAATATGTCCAACTACAGATTACAACTAGTTTCCTGAGGAAAAATTACTTCAAAATTACTGTTGGTTTTCATTCATTGTTGAATACCTTCTGCATCCAAATTTAAGAGATAAATTATATTCTTGCTAGATAAGTTGAGGCATTTAGCCAGACACTTACACAGCCATGGGAAGGGAGTGGCTTATAGATTTCAATGTATTGTTGGCCGTGCAGTAGAAGACGTGGATCATATCTAGCAAAACGAAGCAGAAATGATGTACTTAAGCTAATATCTTGGCAGTGTAGAACAATTGCACATCTACTCTACAGTCATATAAACGATCAATTTTTCTTTAGCACTTGGTCAAATACATGGAGAAACAGAAGCAACAGTATCGTATCTTTAAAGAAAATTGGCAACACAGAGAAAAGGAACAGACCCCCCTGCCCCCAACCAAAACTAGAACAGTATGTGTTCTACTTACTGCAAGCCTGGAATCTGCTCCATTTCTGAAGTAAATCCAAGAGAGAACAAAGCAGCAAAAGTTGGCAAGACCTACAAAGATAAAAGGCCACAAGCGAAGAAAAAGGGAAATCAATTATAGTAACGAATCCATTGCATTTCTTCAACCTTTTCAGTCCTGGATAGTATTGTTAAGTGATTAAACTATTAGGCAAATAAAGTGAGCATGATCCGTTCTTTTCTATGCAAGTACCGTTAGGTCATTAAAGATAGTAAACAATTACTCCGAGTATGACCTTGTGATGTTTACTAATCATAGTATACTGTAAGCAATGGACACATGCCCCCAGTTAAAGGTACCTTAGCGGCTTAGCCTTTACAGAGATAAAAAGTTTGCTTTTACCATCACTCAAATCAAACAGTAGAAAATACAACAGAAGAAGTAATTTAAGCTGCAGATTGGACTATGGCTTGACATAAATCAAGTTCAATTAAACCAAAATTCATCACTTCCTAAGAATCAACAATACCTGAATGAATTGTTGACCATCTTGATGATAAACATATTTAAGCTCTTTATCATCAATAGCATCATTTGCACATGCTCCTATGCCAAGAGCGTAAAGGGCAGCATCCCTATTTCATAATTAACAATTGCAACATGGTAAAAAAAACCAAAGGTCAAGAACACTAGAAAAATTCAAGCCTAACCATTTGCACCAATTAATAAAAACATGAATTGAGCAAAGGATTCATGTAACTTATCCCGATTAGCCTACTTTTACAAGTATGTAGCAGTACCTTTCAGTGTAAGTATATAAACTCTGCAAATACCAATAAACCAAAATTAATGATGGGATTAAGCGAAATTGAGAAAGTTAATTTGAGAACTAAGAAAGAAAGGAAGAAGGATCATGAACCTCAGGAAATTTGTGGGAAATGACTAGTTCAGGATCGAACTCAGAACTTCCAGAGCCCGCCATTCAATCTTTGAGAAAAAGAGAAGAATCTTCAATTTCCAACAAGACAAATTTCAAGGTACAATTTTGGAAAAGCTGTAATTGCGTTGGGTGGGAACTGAGTTGTAGAGAAAAGTTTTCTTTTAGCAGAGCTTAACGAAATCGTAAAAATAAAAAGGAGAGATTGGTCGTGGGTTTGGAACGCAGATCGAAGTGGATTTGATAATGGTTTAAAACAAAGTTTTATTATATATGTAAAATAGAAAATTTAAAAATAAATGGTTCTAAATATAAAAGGTAGGGTATCTTTTTTTTATTGTATAAATTTAAAGAAAAATATATCACATAAATTAGGACAAAGAAATTAATTTATAAGACTTAAAATTTTAATTGAATCAGATTATTAAAATCTTGTTATCAGATTAATGATCATGAAGACTTTGTTCCCACATAGGATTGAGTATTGACCATAATTTTTTTGTTTCATTTCAGATATTTACCTATTCCACATTTACCATTTGAATTAGAAAATGAAAAATATAAAACAAGAATAGGTAATTACATTTTATTTGGTTTTGAGAAAATAATACTATTAATTAACACAGAGCAGTTAAGTAGAAGCTAAATTAAGGTGAAAACAAATTAGCCTCAACGTTTGGAGTCTCTTTATACAATATTTGGATCATTGTTACCCATCGTTTTATAATGTATTGTATTGTATCGTTTTATGAATACAATATTTGAATAGATTGTATCGTTTGCTGTTATTAAATAACATCTTTGATGTTTGATTTGACTGTATTGTACTGTACGGTAATTGATAATACCTCCAATTATTTTAAATAAAATTTATCAAGAATTACATATAAAAATAATTTAACAAAATATCTTTCTACTAATTCATCATTAATTATGTAGCTTGGAAACAAGAGCAAAAATTTGGAAAAAAAAAAGATTAATTAATATTAGCAATAACCAAAAAAAAAATTAAAACGATGGAAAGAGACAAAGAATCGAGCGAAGACTTCGATAAAAAGAACGGGGCAAACCAACTCTAGAAAAGATGAAAGAAGACAAAGTAGGTCAATAAGTTGGAGATTTGGAGTTAAAATAAAAAATAATTAAATGATAAAATAGAATTATAGAGTAATAAGTAAGGGCATAATTGGAAAATAAAATAGGAAATGATCCCTCCAAACCGAATCGATTGTTTCATAAAATGGGGATTTTGATTATTCCGGAACATTTCATTTAACAATACGATACAATCAATTTTAAATAAACAATCAAAACAAACATTATTTTGTGATAACAATACAATACGATACAACGGGTAACAACCATTTAAACAAGTTGTTAAGGCTAAATATAATAACTGGAATTGCAACGACAAATATAGCAAGAAGTATAAACCCATAGCTACCTTAATAGCTTAATGGTTGTTACATATGGTTTTATAATATCCGTATTGTATTGTATTGTATTATATTGATGAATATAATATTTGGATAGGTAGTTGATATTTAACTTAAAGTATATATATTTATATGTATATCGCCTCATGTTTCACTCGTGTTTCGTGGATTTCGGATGTAAAATGTATTGATTTATATTAATTCGTGATGTTTTTATGTGTAGGAATCATCCGAAAGCAATTGGGGGCGAAATGTGCGAGATTAAAGCCAAAACGGAGGGAAAATGGGAAATGTGGAATTCCAGCGCCACAGACAGCGCCCCACGCCACATGTGGCGCTGTGGACAGAATGTTTAAATTGTCAGCGCCAGGGCCAGCACCCCACGCTGCCCTGGACACTGGTGACGGAAATTTCTCCTACTTTACCCGGGACAAGGTTATTTCGGCCCTAGACCTATCCAACACGTATAAAAGCAAGACTAAGTCTATTTTTGGAGGGAAGACGCCACTTTGAAGGAAAAATACACACGAGAAACATCGGGGAGCGAGGATATCTCAGTTTTCTTCATCTTTTCTTAGTATTTTCAACTATCCAACACTTATGAAATTGTTTGATACTAAAATGAGTGGATAAAACCCATAGTTCTGGGATTGTGATTTAGCCATGAATATTGTTGTTTAATGTTGACTTAACCTTAATAATAATTCACCAACATATGATTGTTTCTTGAATTCTCTGATTAATTGCTTAATTGTCTGGCCAGCAGTTAAGTTCTAGTTACTATCTATGCTATGCTTGGGAAAGTCATGTTTAGATTAGAGAAGAATTGAAGAGAGCACGATCTTAACTCTGAGAGGGGCGGATTTTTGGTTAGGATAGGAATATACCTAGTCACCGTGCTTAATTAAATATCGTAATCTTAATGCTTCTTAATAGATTGATTTCATAGGAATATAGGCGTTAATTTATTTTGAATAGGCGAGTAGTACTTCGGGAGAAGGCTACGAGAGCAATTGTTCGATTAATTAGCAACCATGAGTGAATTGTATAAAAGGGAGAGTTAACTAGAACACAATAGGATTGGTGAATCGATCACAACCCTGAAATATTTGTCTCTACTAAATACACAATAATCATTTTGCTGCTTGATAATTTAGTTACTAGTTAGAATTATTGTTTAGTATAATCACACTTTTGAACTCGGATTGGCTCGACTGAATAACAATCTTGGTGAATTTAGTGGGTAGTTAATATAAGTCTCTGTGGGTTCGACACTCGACTTATCATCTTATTACTTGTACGACCACGTATATTTGCGTGTGCGTTTTGGAGCAACAAGTTTTTGGCGCCGTTGCGGGGGACTTAAATATTGACTACTTTCTAGTTTTAGCTATAATTGTTTATTTCGTCAAGTCTAACGTTACTTAATTATTGCTCTGCTCTCAGGAACCTTGATTGAATGCGAAGGGTCAGAAGCTAAGATAGACTTCAAGGCTTTGACCCCGAACCTGAGAGAACATTTCACAGAAGGTTGAGGGAAGCAAGGGACACAAATAATCTTCAGGCACTTGTTCAATTTTCTGTGAACATGGTAGATGAGCAGCATATGGCGGTTCAGGAGGTGGCGATGCCCAGCATTGCTAATGTCACCTCCAGCATTGTGAAGCCCAGAATTACTGGGCACTTTGAGCTAAAACAGAGCATGATCCAGCTACTTCATGCGAATGGGCAGTTTATGGGTCTTCCACACGAGGATCCACAACAGCATATCCTGAACTTCTTGGAGATTAGTGTTACATCACTAACGGAGTCACTCCAGACTATGAGAGGCTCACACTCTTACCATTCTCTTTGTTGGGCGAAGCAAAGTGATGGCTGAAGGCAGAACCAGCTAATTCTATTACATCATGGAATAATCTGGCAAGGAAATTTTTGGCAAAGTTATTCCCTTCAGGAAAAACAGCAAAGATCAAAAATGAGATAGTCGCCTTCAAACAGAAATCGGGGGAGTCTTTATACTCAGCTTGGGAGAGGTTCAAGGGGCCTCAGAGACTGTCCTCATCACAATCAGACAAATGAAGTGTTAGCTCACACTTTCATAGAAGGGCTACTGTGATGACCCAAAAGGTCATCTTCTATTTTAGAACTCGAATATGTGCTCTTAAGCCTTTAAAATCTCATTTTTTACCCTCCTCGATTTGCGTGCGTAGTCCGGGTAGGTTTTTCGGAAAGCTTTTATGTTGAAAACTAATAAAAATAAGAATTTTTGCCTTAAAAGTTAATTTTAATTGACTTCGGTCCACATTTTTGGTAAATAGGACCGGATCCGTGCTTTGACGGTCCCGGTAGGTCCGTATCAAATTATGGGACCTGGGCGTATGCCCGGAATCGAATTCGGAGGTCCCTAGCTTGAGTTATGAATTTTTGATAAAAATTAAAAGTTTGGAAATTATTTGTTTTTAAGAATTAATTGATATTTGGCATTGTTAGTATCGGGTCCGTATTTTGGTTTCGGAACCCGGTACATGTTCATTATGATATTTAAGACTTATCTGTGAAATTTGGTGAGAAACGGAGTTGATTTAACATGATTCGGACGTCCAGTTGAGAAAATAGAAATTTTAAAGTGTTCTTGAGAATTTTATTTGATTTGGTGCTAAATTCGTAGTTCTAGGTGTTATTTTATCAATTTGATCGTGCGAGCAAGTCCGTATGATATTTTTAGACTTGCGTGCATGCTTGGTTTGGAGCCCCAAGGGATCGGGTGCCATTCGGGCGATGCGCGAGTCGAGTTCAAACCTCAACAAGGCTGCTGGTGCACCAAATCTGGTGTGCCCGCACCTGCGAGCCTTTGGTCGCAGGTGAGAGCTCGTAGGTGCGAGCGATAGCCCCGCATGTGTGACCCAGGCCTGGACTTCATTTTTTTGCAGGAGCGGAACCCTGTCCGCAGGTGCGACTCCAGTTGGCCCAGTCCTTTTTTGCAGAAGCGCACGTCATGTCCGCATGTGCGAATGCGCAGGTGCGACCAAAGCACCGCAGGTGCGAAGGTCGCTGGGGAGTGAGTTCATTTAATTTGGACTCTAGCCATTTTTCTTCTCGTTGCAAAAGGATATGAGGCCTAGGGCGATTTTTCAAAGACATATTCTTCCCCAAATCATAGGTAAGTGTTCCTTAACTCGTTTCTTTCAATCTTTTGCTTCATTTTACAAGAATTCAACCTAAAATCTAGAGTTTTCATGGTAGAATTAGGGGTAAGGGTAGAAACTAGGGATTTCGAAAATTTGGGGATTTAGACCTCGATTTGAGGTCGGATTCCAAAACCAATTATATATTCGGGCTCGGGGGTGAATGGATAAATGAATTTTGGTCCGAACCTCAAGTTTTGACCAAGCGGGCCCGAGGTCGATTTTCGACTTTTTGGAGGAAAATTTAGGAAATCTGTAATTATTCATTAAAGTTGATTCCTTTAGCGATAATTGATGATATTAAACTAATTATTATTAGATACGAGTGGGTTGGAGGTGAATTCTAAAGGGAAAGCGGTACTTGAGCAGTGAGTGGCTTGCGAAATTGAGGTAAGTGTCGTGTCTAACTTTGGCTTGAGGGAATAGGTATTATGTGTGCATTTGCTACGTGTTTGGTTGTTAAATACGATGTATAGGTGAGGTGATGAGCATCTATGCGTCGTTTTCGTGTCATAGCATGCGAGTAAAATTCTATTCTTATCTATTTTGTAGCCTTAAATTCTACTATCCATGCTTAGCGGGTCATTTGAAATGTTGGGTTACTCATATCTGGTTTCACTGAGATTTGGTAACTTTCGAATATTGATTCAAGGCTGAGATTACATTATGCTATTGATTATGGATAAAATACTGGTTTCATTGTGATACTCTTATCTATCTGTTGTTATTGATTCTGTAATTGGTGAGGCGGAGTATAAAGCACGTAGGGTGATGCCGTGCATGCATTATTTATATTGTGAGGAAGAGCGTAAAGCACGAAGGGTGATGTCGTATATATTATGAGAGGCTTAAAGCACGATGGGTGATGCCGTGTATATTATGAGAGGTTTAATGCACGAAGGGTGATGCCGTGCCATTTTATTTATTTATTTGGTGAGGTTGAGAGTAAAAGCACGAAGGGTGATGCCGTGCAGTTTTTCTTGTTGTTTTAATTGCTCAATTCGTTTAAAGATTTTCGGTTTAATTCTGTATTTTTATTATTCTTACTCTTTATGTTGTATTCCCCCACTGTATGTTTCCTTCCCATTATTTCTATATTATTTCTTTATTTACGGTTGTTGCCACTAGCAAGATTTTATTGTTTAGGTTATTTGTGGGTGACTTGTCCTAGCCTCGCCACTACTTCGCCGAGGTTAGGCTCGACACTTACCAGTATATGGGGTCAGTTGTACTGATGCTGCACTCTGCACTTTCTGTGCAGATTTTGATACTGGCTCAGGCTAATCGAGATTTGCTACTGGTCCGCTGTCCGGAGACTCAAGGTAGATCTGTCGGCATTCACAGACCTTAAAGTCCCAGTCTATCTTTTTTGTCCTACTGTTTTCTTTCATTCAAACAGTTGTATTTTTTTCAGGCTATTACTTGTAGTAAATTCTAGAATGCTCGTGAATTGTTACTCCAGATACGGGTGGTAGTAGTTAATACAGTTTTATGATATTTCGCACTTATTATATTTCATCTTAGTTAATTATTGTTAATTACTGAATGAAAATAAGGAATTGGTTTAATGATTCTCTAACGTTGGTTTGCCTAACAAGTGAAATTTTAGGCATCATCACGGTCCCGTCGGTGGAAATTTCGGGTCATGACAGTTGGTATCGGAGCACTAGGTTGCCTAGGTCTCACGATTCATGGGCAAGCTTAGTAGAGTCTGGAGGATCGGCACAGAGACGTTTGTGCTTATCTTCCAGAGGCTATGAAGTTTAGGAACAAGTTTCACTTATATTCTTCTCTATCGTACGATTTTTCTTTCTCAATACTGATTGAACTATTCTACTCTTATTCTCTCGCACATGGCGAGAACACATACCGCTTTCTCAGCTGAGCAGCAGCTAGAGCCTCCAGTGATAGCTCTTATGCAGGGTAGAGGTCGAGGCCGAGGCCGAGGCAGGGGCAGGGCTCAGCCTAGGGCCCGAGCAGCAGCCCCAGCAGTGGAGCCTGAGATAGAGCTTGATGAAAAGGTTCCAGTCCAGACTGTTCCTGCCGGACCAGCTCAGGTTCCGGAGGGATTCATTGCCACCCCAGTACTTCAGGACGCTTTGGTCCGTTTGGCGCATTTCCCATGGCACCAGCAATCTCTCAGGCTGGAGGAGGAGCCCAGACTCCTACCACTCCCACTTCGGAGCAAATAGCTCCCCAGTATCAGGCTCCAGCAGCTCAGCCAGTCGGATTAGTTCAGCCGGTTATTGCGGCATAGGTCAGAGATGGGCCAGCTATGTCTTCTGAGGCTTTAAGGAGATTGGACAGGTTTATCAAGCTCTTTCCTGTTCACTTCAGTGGTGCTCCTTTAGAGTATCCCCAGGAGTATCTTGACAGTTGTCACGAGGTTTTACGGAACATGGGTATAGTGGAGACCAATGGGGTCGATTTGGCTACATTTCAGATGACTGGTTCCGCCAAGAAATGATGGAGAGATTACTTGTTGACCAGACCAGCTGGGTCGCCTGCTCTTACTTGGGACCAATTCTCTCAGCTCTTCATAGAGAAGTTTCTGCCTATCACATTGAGAGAGGAACGTCACCGTCAATTTGAGCGTCTCCAGCAGGGCAGTATGACTGTTACTCAGTATGAGACTCATCTTGTGGATTTGGCCCGTCATGCTATTCTTCTGCTTCCTACCGAGAGAGAGGGTGAAGAGGTTTATTGATGGACTTGCTCAGCCTATCAGATTGCATATGGTTAAGGAGACTAGGAGTGAGATTTCTTTTCAGGTGGCTGCTAATGTCGCCAGACGAGTCGAAATGGTTCTTACTCAGGGAGGTCAGGGGTCTGACAAGAGACCTCGTCACACCGGTGAGTTCAGCGATGCCTCACCTAGAGGCAGGAGTACTTTTGGTAGAGGCCATCCTCCCAGGCCATTTCATTCAGCGCTCCAGGCATCCCACGGTGCCTCAGGTGGTCGTGGCCCTCAGATGCATTATTTCGACCAGCTAGCCTACAGTGCACCACCGACTCCTATTAGTACACCTCCACTCCAGAGTTATCAGGGTGGTTATTCAGGTCGACAGGGTCAGTTTCAAGGTTAGCAGTCACAACAGCCGAGGTTATGTTATACTTGTGGTGATCCGAGGCACATTGCTAGATTTTTCCCTTGAGCAACGGGCAACTCACAGCATCAGAGTTCCTGTGCCATGGTCCCGGCACCAGTTGCTGCACCACCTGCTCAGCCAGCCAGAGGCAGGGGTCAGACAGCCAGAGGTAGAGGCCAGACTGTTAGAGGTGGAGGTCAGGTCGTTAGAGGTGGAGAACAGCCAGTTAGAGGTCGTCCCAGGGACGTAGTTCTGGGTGGTGGGCCTCAGCCCCGGTGTTATGCTTTCCCAGCCAGGCCTGAGGCTGAGTCATCTAACACTGTTATCACAGGTACTGTTTCAGTTTGCAGTAGAGATGCTTCAGTTCTATTTGATCCGGGATCTACTTACTCCTATGTGTCATCCTATTTTTCTTCCTATTTGTTTGTGACCCGTGATTCTTTGAGTGCTCTTGTGT